AGTACAGAATATCAATTGTTTAAAAATTAATGTAACATTTTTATTCAAAATATTAACTATGTTCACTTGACAATGTAATCTGTGCAGTCAGTAGGAGTATTCTAAAAATCAACTAAAATATTTTAAAAACTAGAACTAAAAATACAACACTAATGTACTGAAATCTCTATTCACTAATTGATTCTAATGGGAAATGACAGGTATGGGTCAAGGGGGACGTAAAAGGTAATACCTGTCTAATGTACTCCACTTTCAGAAGGTAAATTGAGTCATTGCATTTATTAGGATCTCTACACATGGATTGTATTTATAGATCACTTACCTTGAAATTATATTCCCATTTACCTGACTTCTGATAAAAGTAAACAAAAGAGTGGGGAGTAAGTAAAATCTATAAGTTTCTGTGATTTCAGTAAACATCAATTCAACATATTTCACCTGCTAAAAAAATTCCTTATATTGTACCCCTGGGGAACATTTTATGCAGATGGATATAAAATTCATAGCAAGTATTTTTTCAGTCAACTTGCTCAGTCACATGAAAAACAAGACTTAATTTTAGCATCATATTTTGCTCCCTTTTTTCTTTGTTGCACAGTGTTTGCTGAACATAAGTTTTCGGATCTATAATTAGATTCTCACCCTGTGTGTAGTTGCCTAGATGTTTAAAAAGAAATGTGATTAAGTGCACATATTGTAGAAAAAATGTAAATTTCAGAAATAATGGAACACAATTGCGATGCTCAAACAGCATATATGAAAACCTGAATAAAATAAAATGAATAAATGACAGACTTTCATAAAAACAATTTAAAGTTGCTTAGTGAAATGAAATCTACTATTTTTCTCTTTTGCTTTTACCACTGTGGGAATAGCTATTTCATGATACTGAACTGATTGGGTAATTTATTCAAGAGATTGGAGACAAGACAGATAAATTTTGTTAATCTGCAAATGAAACAGACTAGGTCAGTTATAAAGCAGCAGCAAAGCTGGGTATGGTGGCATACAACTGTCATACCAGCACTCTGAGAGGCTGAGTCAGGAGGATCACAAGTTCTAGCCCAGCCTGGACAACTTAGTGACTTGTGGGACCCTGTCTCAAACATGAAAAATAAAAAATGTACTGGAGATGTGGCTCAGTGCTAGATTTAATCCCCAGTACCAAAAAAAAATGTAACAGCAAATTAAATTCATAGTTATGTTATTAAAGCAATATATAGTCAGGAACATGAGAAACTATCTTTCAAATCAAAGTTAATCAGAGTTATGCATTCATTACCTACCTGTCTTTAGTTCCACTCAACTAAAATAAAAAGCAACTAGATATTAATTATACTATGAATATGTGTAGATGAAGTTTGTAAACAATTAATCGTAGTCACACAGTGCTTTTATGACTATCTAAATGGGACAAATTTATCATATAATATATTTCCTGTTATTAAGAAAGAGAAATTTTATGTGAATAAAAGTTGGTACAGGGAATAACTGTTAGCCATTAATTAGTTCATTACACTATTTTCCATTTAGCTTATTAGAACTTCTCTATTGAAAGCATCTAACTTTTTGTAGTTTTTGAATTACCTTAAAAGGCAATGTAGTCTAGTAGGAAAACCAGAAACCTGGCTGTGGAAACTTAGACAAAGCCTTTACTCTATGTTCCAGTTTACCAATATGAAAAATAAGTAAATAATAATATCTATCTTATAAGACTCTTTTCAGAGTTGCAGAAGAAAACAGATAAAATTATAGCACTCAACTGTTTTCTCTTTCTTTTCCCTCTTAGCTAAGAAATAAATGGAACCAAAGCAGCTGGATGACTTTATTTTTTGAAGCTTCATGGCACTGTTTCCATTTTTCTCTGGACATTCCAACAATTCAGCTCCTACTTATGATTTTCTTTTTTAAGATTGAAAGAACTATGGGAGATAAGGCAATGGGATACTTCAGCTGCTCACACTGTGAGATTCCCAATTGTACTGATAACTAGCTTTCTTTGAAAACTTTATTAGGACCTAAATCCTAGCTTTAATGCTAGAATGGTAATCTTTGAGCATTGGCTTTTTCCTCATAAAGGCTAGAGAAAGGAACTTTAAGGTACATTTTTACTCTGTAATTCTGTGAACTCCATGCATTTTTATTCTGCACTACTGCTGATGTTTCTCAAAGAATAATTTTGCCCTTGCTATCAAATGGTAAAGAACGAAGTAATAGCAGTAGTGAGTAGTACTCATCCACTTTCAGCTGTTGGTTACTGAGCATGGTTCTCACATCTCAACATCAGCGACTCTCAGGCTTTTGCTCCATTTTCTGCTCATCTTTCAAAGTGTATTCATGGCTTTTCCTAAGTTTGCAATGTTTTCCAACAGTGCATAAAACCCATGAAAGATATATCAATACTTGCTCACTGTATGCACCAATTGTTTTGTGTTTTGCTTTGTTTTGGTTTTTTGAGACAGGGTCTTGCTATATAATTCAGGCTGTCCTTGAACTCACTATGCAGCCTAGGCTGGCCTCGAATTTGAGGTGATCCTCCAGCCTCAGTGCCCCCTCCACGACCCCTCCACCCCCCTGCCCAGTGAGTGCTAGGATCACAGGCATGCACCACTATACCTGTCTACTACATACACCAAATTACAATGTACATATACTAAATGACCTAGGGATTTTGTTAAAATAGAGCCTTGGATTTACTGTATCCAGCATAGTGTTTTAAATTGTATTTTTCTAGCAAGTTTCTAGGAGTCCTAGTATCAACTCTTTGGTAGCAGGTATTTAAACTATCCTATGGACTAAAGAAACTCTAAGTAAAAAAACTTACACATAAAAGAAATCATAAAAAGTAGTTATTATATTTCAATTTAGTTACAAATTTATCTTCTTTTTAGGGACCTCACAAATAATCAAATTTCTAGGTGAAATTTCCATAAAGGGATATATTATTCCAATATTTGTTCCATTCTTGTATGATTTCTCTACATCATTATCTATACATTTTTAAATTTGGCAAATTGATGTCATTAGACTAGATGGACATCATAATTTATTTTTGAAAATAAATATATAGGAGAGTAAGTTAAATTATGGCACATAATTACTAAGATGATCAGATTAATTATTTAAAATAACATTTCTCAATATTAAGCATTTTGTATAATCCAAAAGCAAAATTAACAAAATTATACTACTTTGAAATATTACAACAGATAACTATTTATTCTCCAAAAAAGTGAATTTATAAAACTTATTTCATTATCATAGGGTAAGCTACATTTTTTTCACTTTTCTTTTGAAATTTCTTAGTATTCATTAACCTTGATACTGACTTACAGAAAACATAAACAAAAATCTACACTTATGTACAGAAATTATTTTATAAATGAAAGAATTTGAGTCAAGACTATGGAAGTTTAAAGTTTAAAAGTTTAAAGTTTAAGAACAGTACACTGAAATTCAACACAGCCTTATCTTACAAAAATATATAATTGCTTTCCTTTCTGAATATATGTAGGCTAGATTTACTTATTTTTTAGCATAAACTCAATAGTCTTGGCTTCCTGGAAGAAACGCAACAGTAAAATCAAAAAGCTTTATTTAAAAAGTAAATACTACTTGCAGGATTTCTACTGTCTCTGTGCTTTTCCTCACAGAACAGGTAGAGCACTGATTAAGAATCCGGATTTACCTACTTGTATTTAGTAGCAGAGAAGTCTTCTGGAGGATTAGAAAGGATGGTAATAACATATCAAGAAATAAATGGTGGTCTAAAAGGGTTAGTAAGATATTGTGAAGTCATATGATAGACCACATTGGTGCAGCATAGGATGGATTCTTAGTGTTTTTCCTTAATTATGTTCCAGAAGATTTTGCTTCTGACGAGCCTGGTAACATCGTATAAATTTTAGGCTCTGAATTAGCCCTACACAATCAGTTTCAAATTCTGTAAGAATTCAATAAATTTTTCTGATACTTAATTTAAGAAAATACAACGCCATGCAAATTAAATGGCATTTAGAAAGCTTTTATAAAAGAAGACCTTGTTAAAATATCAGCAATATCCAAAACTTTGCAGTTGGCTTTTGAAATGTTTTCCTTGGAGCATATTTCAGGATTTCATGAAACACTGCATTTGTGAAGCCTGTTTATTGTATTATTTATCTTGTAAAAGTAGAGTTCTTCTCTTTAATACTTTTGCTAAGCAAAGAGAACTAAAAGATATGACGCTATCGCTGAGGTTGTTTGTAAATGTAGAGAAAAACATTTCTTTTTTATTAGCTCCATCTGATGGCTGAAATGGTTTTTACACACTTCCTGGGTATAAATTCCCACCAATAATTTTGTTGTTTTCTCTACGCTCATCTCTGTCTGAAAGGGACGCTATGTTGGTAAGATGTTTTTAGCTAATTATATGTCTAGTTAATTAAATTCTGTAAAGTGGGTCAGGGATTTAGCTCAGTGGTTCCGCCGCCTGCCTCGCAAGCGCAAGGTCCCGAGTTTGATCACCGGAACCAAAAAAAAAAAATTCAGTAAAGCATTTATTATGATAAATAGTAAAAAATTCTTTGCAATATTTTTTTCATAATAGTAATTAAATCTTGTTAGATTTTAACTTTAGGTTGAGAACTATAAATATTAGTTTACAATGGTATGAAATTTAAAATCTGAAAATATGAGTACATTGTCAATATGTACATCCTATAGTGTACATCCTCATGCATTTCACTCAGATAATCATAGTATTCCGTTGTCTAATTCATGTTGACATGTTCCTGGAGATCACAAACATAACTGTGATTATTCCTATTTTGTACTAATGAACTAGTTTCATTAAAAAAATCCCTACTTATTTAATTTGACATCCTAATATTATTAGATATGAACATACATGCTTAAAATACAATTTTGTCATTGCAGAAAAAAATAGTTTTGGATTTAGTTTTGAAATATATAAATAAGCCTAATAATTAAATAATAAGAAAGTTCAGGAAATACTATACCTCAGCATCATATTCCCATAGCTGGTTTCCTCTCATGTGGTGGCATTTTAACATAATTACAGGTCCATTGAGTCTGGATACATCCAAGCACAAGTCATCAGTTCTGATTTCTTTGTCAGCCGTATAAGAAAACACCTGAAAATATAACACTCAGCTAATAAAATAGTATCTACTTTACAACAAAAGTCACAGTGCAGGAGATCTATCTGTGAAAGGTTTTGTACCAGATAAACATGTGATTTCAGATGATTCTGCTGTGTGATCTGGAAAAAGCTGGTTCATCTCTCTGTGTCTTTTTCCTGAACTGTAAAAAAGGGACAATGTCATCTATTGTACAGAGTTTTGGTGAAGCCTCCATTTAACAACTAAATTACTAAATGCTTATTATCTGCTGATGCTATATTTCATGCATGACACTTGCCTTATAAAACTAAAAACAGGTTAAGTAAAATGACATTTGTTAATTGGATGGTGCTCAATAATTGGAAGTGCTTGTTCCCACAACCTCATGACCAAGTCCCCACCTCATGTGAGGATAATGATTTTACCTAGAAATTTAAATCTTTCTTTCAGTGACATAAGTATACCGTGTAATGTTTATTCAATGTTTTCAGTGAGTTTTGAAGGTTGTAGAATTATATTCTCCAGAGAGCTCATTAATGGTAGGCTCATGCACTTATCTTTCTTAAATGGTTCTGGCTAAGCTTGACTACAACAATTTTCAAAATATCCAGGAAATGTCAAGATGGATTATGAACTCATTGTTAGAGAACTCAAATTGAAAGTATAATTATTTTATTTTTTTCTTAAGGTGAATAACTTACTTATAACATTGACTGTTGAAGTTCCTTGAGTGTTATTACCAACATAATTATAAATATTTTTCTCATAGCTATGACAAGTGTGGTTCTTCATTTGGTGAATTTTTTCATGTTTTCTTCCTTGCAATGTCAGAGTGCATATAATGAGAAAGATCATTTCAGGATTTTGTTTGTTTCCCAAAGCAGTCTGAAGAAATCTAGTAAATGAGCTCTACAAGTAATTTTAAAACTCTAGAACTCTAATCTGGAAGTTGAACAAGTGGATCTTGAAAGCTCTGCTTCTACAAACTGCTAGTCAGGGTTTCTCTTAAAATCTTAAGAGGCTACAGAATATTACAAAGTCAATTTTGCAACCAAGAACTCTCTTAAGTTCACCTCTGGAAAAAATTATTTATAATAGCTATACATTCAACTCAATAATTTAGACTTTTGGGAAATGTGCAATATTTATTTAATTGAATTATGTAAAATATAGATCTAATGAATGTAATGTAAAAAATTTATCTTTAGTACATTTTCATGTTTATAATGTTAAGAAAAAACAAGTAATGAAAGAACAAAATTAATGGTAAGTGTATCCTTCCCAAACACTTTCATTTTTAAAAGCACAATTCTAATCCATTTAAATCAAATAACTGAATATAGTAGTGAATCTTAAACTGAGGAAAAGAAAGTCCTAAAGAAATGTATTTTGCCCATCATAGCATTATTTTAATACTGACTCTTCCATATAGAAATTGTTTTCTTTGATTGTATAGAGGTGCTGATATTAAAAGGGAACCAGAGCATCCTCGTTCAGCTTCAGTTATACTAATGCACCAAGAAATGCTTTTCCTCAGGTTTCATATAACAATTTGGAAACTGTACTTTTTGAAAGTCCTAGTAAAGAGTGTAGCATATTCTTTGCTATTCAAATTATCATTTTGATTTTTTAGTGAATAGTTAGATACCACAAGTAATTGACATTCAAAATACATATATTTGAAAAAAAATTTGAGCCTATATACATACACATATATGTGTGTGTATATATATATAATTTTTCTTTGGCCTTTGCACTGGAAAAAAAAATCTCTTATGGAAATGCTTGGCCCACAAGTAGTTTTTCTTCAAAAAAGAAATCTGCAGGTGATGTTTCATTATTTTCTGGTATCAATATAAAATCAGGATTAATTTATTCCATATCTGAGAATTTTATTCTCATGCTGGATTGTTTCTAAGATTTTTTCCTCTTTATAGTAATAATAAGGCAGTGAGTTAGTACATAGATGCCTTTTTGATTTGATCTAGAAATTATTAGATTTGATCACATTTATCCTTCATACTTATAATTGTCATTTGTGCCTTAAAAAAAAAATATATATATATATATATATACACCCTGCTGTTGAAGGTACATGAAACCCGGTTTAAGTATACTGAAACACCATGCACAAATACTTGCAAGAGTATTCAGTGATTGATATTTAGTATTATCCAAATCTTGGAATTATTACCCCATTGTGGACTTGTGTGTGGATTCTCGCTTTCATAATATACTCAGTTTCTCAATTGTAGGACAGAAGCCAGCAGGATTTGTTCTTGCTTGTCTGCGTTAATTAATACCTTGGTCTCTGTCCACAGATCTGAAGACACATTGTGTTACCTGATGGAAGGCTTTCCTGACACCTTCAGTTAGTTTATCTGCACAGAACCTGGACCTCTAGATTCACCACTTTTGAGTTCCTATGACTTTGAGATGCTTGCTAGATTTCCTACTAAGCCGCTTTTCCCCATGGCTGTTGCCTATTGCCCATCTCACAACTTTAAACAGATTAATTCTCTCAGGTGGTACGTGCAATCCTCAGTACTGAGCCTGCCCTGTTTGTTCTGCTCTTTCTGTGGGTGAAACCTTATTTCTGACCATAACGTAAGATAAAATATTTGAACCTGTACAACTCTGAAACACTTTAATTTAAACTGTCACATGTATGTGAGATTGATTTCTTTCATTAGTGAAGTATATTCTTACCAAAAAAAGGACTCTATCCTCCTTTCTGTGTTACCATCCAAGTTGTTTTATCAATGATAACCAGAACTTATCTTTACTAAAACCAGAAGTGTTATAAAAAAACCATAGGTTTAACCTGTGATTTCAGTTGCTTCACTGATTGACTTTAATGACAGTTGATTGTTTCAAAGTCCAATCAGTTTAATTATGCTAGGGGACTAGTGGCACTGTACAACAATCAGTCTCCATGACCTTCCTTCCATTATACAAGAGGAAATTGAGAGGATGTTAACATTTATGGAGTACTTACCTAGGGAAGAAACCATATGTAATGTTCTTCATACACATTACATTAAATAAATTTGTCTTTTTGTTTCATTGTACAGTTACATTTATGTATTTATGAATGTTACAGTATTGAAAAATATAGGTCAAATTCTTTATATAAAATATAGAGAGGAAATGGTTGATATTGCTTTGAAAATTCTATTTTATATTTAATGTCCATATTGTCTAAATATATAAAATATGAACTATTTAATTACACATATGTCCCTATGCAGTCTCTTGGTCAATCTAGATCTATAATCCCTAAAAAGCCCATTTTTAATTCAGTTCTTTTAATTTGAGCCATTTTATAAGAAAAGATGAATCCTATGGTTGATTTTGAGGAACTTGTTGATTAGTATGCTTTTAAAAATTGCTTTGATCACCATAACCGCAGTTTCTAGTATCTCATATTGGGTTATTTTGCTAGTGTTACCAAAAGAAAATATCATAGACTAGGTGGCTTTCACAGTAGAAATGCATTTCCTGACAATTCTTTGATAGGGTTGGTTCTTTCAAAGGCCTCTTTTGTCTTACACATGGGCATTTTATCTCTGTCTTCATGTGATTTTTCCTCTTTCCTATATCCTAATTTTGTCTAAAAAGGTACAAGTTATATTAGGTTAGATCCCTCACTTTTCCTAAATTATCTTTTAAAAGACCATATCTACAAATTTAGTCACACGCTGATACTCTGGGGGTTAAGAATTCAGCATACAAATTTGAGGTTAGGAGCAAAATTCAGCCTATAATATCTCTTGACCATATAAAAATTACTGAAAGAGACTATATGTCTTTCCCATAAATGAAAACTATGTCAGGCTTTTTTTTTGCTTTTTGTTTACATCATTTTAGAATCCAATTCAGTAATGAGAATGCTGTTTAGTATTATTAATCAAAACTCAAAATTTTATGTAATATCAAATTTTCTCTTGTTTAGCTATGTTGGACATGCTTTAGGTTGGCAGCCTGGGGTGTCAAGGATATCCTTGCTTCTGTATTTCACTGTCTAAAGCTTCTTTTTCTTCTATTCCTCTCAAATTCTCCTAGGCTGCTGGTAAGATTTTATTTTTCAGGGCAGTAAAGCTGTAGGGGAAGGCTTACCCAAAGCATTTCCTAATAACTCCTTCCTGTTCTCTGGTTTAAATGAGTTTAAATTTCCTACCCTGAGAGCATCTACGGCCTTTTAGAGATTCCCATCCTTTAGCATCTCTCCCCACAGTGCAACTGATGAGGGCAATGCATATTTTATAAGCATGCACGTTTTATGAGTTGACAAACTCTGGGAGGCATGCTGATGGCAGATAGGGCTGTTTAGTCCCCTCAATTTAGTTTTCACAAGACAGCTTTGTCTATAAGGTATTAGTCAAGTCATAGCCTGCCACCCTCTGCATATGCAAGAAGCACACAGCAAGTTCTCCAAGTAGTATCCTACATAATTTATAGCACCTGGTGCAAAATTTAACCAAAGCACCCACAACTAAAAGTTATAAAGAATTTCAAGAGTGGAAGAATATGTGATTGCATGGGCCACACACCCACAGAGCTGCTCCTGCCTTCAGTTCCCTCACTAGAAGCCAAAAGCTCACCTCTAAAGGGTAGGCAACAACTCTCTCTACAGAAAATCTTGCAATCTTTTCCATATTCTGAAATCTCCTGCTGTGGGTTGAATTGTGTCCCCCAAAGTGATATCGGGTCTATGACCCATTCACTCAGAATGTGGGCTTTTTGGGAAATAGGCTCATCACAGAATTATTTGTAATTAATTGTTATGATACGGTCACACTGCATTCAGGCACGCCATTAATCCAAGGTGACTGGTATGTGCATCTATATGAAAAGACAGAGCTAGAGAAAGTCAGCCATGTGATGGCAGAGGCAGGCAGAGAGACAGCAAGGATTGCTGGCAAACAGCAGAAAGTAGATGAGACAAAGAATGACTCTTCCCTAGGTTTTAGAGTGGGACATTTCTGACACCTATATCAGACTCTTCTGGC